CATTTACACCAACAGACAAGAAAAGCCATTCAGAGAAATTACGGCTAGAGCTATTTCTAATTTCACTTAATGGCATACAGATTTCTTGAGATGCTGATATCCAGGAGGGAGCCTTGCAAAAAAACTAAAAATCATTATCAGGAACATAAAAAGGTGTGACATATCACACAACAACTATGAAAACTACAGCTGAAGTTTTTAAAAAATAGCATCCTATAGTGACTGATGGCAAGAATGCATTTTCAAAGCTAGGCATCATTACGGGGATTGTCATAACAATGGAAGCCCGTTTCCGCCACTAAAAAAAAAAAAAAAAAGATCCATAACTCGAAATTTCGAGTTATCTTTCTCGAAATTTCGACTTATTTTCTCGAAATTTCGAGTTATTTTCTCAAAATTCGGACTTATTAACTCGAAATTTCGAGTTATTAACTCGAAATTTTGAGTAAAATAACTCGAAATTTCGAGTTAGCGCTGCCAATAAGAAATCTACGTGGCTGATGTCATTTCCTTGTTACCCGGAAGGATATGGCGCAAAGGGGTGCGCACTCAAAACTGGATCGTGTCGTGAGCTGCTGTATTAACAACAAATGGCGCCAGGTTCTTCAGTTTTGAATGCCTTCCTACAAATGATAACTGGATAAAAGGTATATAAAAACAGTGTGACAGCGATTGTTACATACAAAGTTGAATAGAATGCAACGTCAGGGTTAACCAAAGGTACCTATAAGGTTTCTGTTACACGCTAATGACACCTGTTACGTCTGATGAAACAGACGTTTTGCTGAAAGCATGCGTAATAAGTATACAGCACTGTATAAAACAAAATCACAAATCACCCAAAACAGGGAATATGACTGACAACTATATAAATAAGGAACAAAACCAATAAAACTGTAACCAGACAACTGAGAAAATGTGGGATTGACTGTATTGTGATGCTGATTGTAGTTACAGTGCAAATGGACACTTAAAAATGCAGTTCCCACTTCTCCACCATAGTCAGAGCTCATAATGTAGGTAGGCACAGATACTTTGACGATAATATGGTGGCTTTATTTTAATTTTGTAATTTTAATTTACATCCTTCCTTACAGCATGGGAGACTTGACTGAATTCTTGAAACAAAGAGAAGTCTCTGAGGAAATTATACAGACCTTGGAGAATGAGAAGGTACTTAATTCCAACAAGATACTGGCTGAAATGCAACTTTTCCTCATTGTTCTTAAGTTAAAAATAGAATTGTATTTTCAAGGCTGGTTGTTTCAATAAATTAAATTATTTTTCCATCTTTAGATTGATGCCAGTGTCATAAGTCTAATGACAGATGAGGAGCTGAAGACTTATTTGCCATCATACGGTGATCGTCTAGCAGTATTTGGATTTTGCAGACGGAGGGGCAGCAGCCGCAAGTCAGCGCTTTTTGAACGGCTGAAATCCAAACTGTCCAAAAGAAAATTATCTGAAGAGGATGGCAGTAGCACACGGCAAGAAGAACATTCCCAAACAACCCATAAAAGAAATGCTCTGAAGAGAAATAGAAAAATAGAAATAGGATGGATGCATTATGATGAAGACACTGAGGTTTTCAAGCAGGTTAGAGCTAGACGAGGAGGAGGAACAAGAAAAATAGACATCTGCAAGGATGCCAAGAAAAGGGACATATTACAGGTTGCAACAGGCCTGTTCTTTCCAGATGGAGGAAACATTCAGGGGCCCTTAACAGATTTTGACTGTGATCTGAAGGATTATCAAGAGATGATAGTCGATGATGCATTGACAGTAGGAGAACTTTATCATGTCACAAAACTTAATATCCTCAGGTTCTACCTCACCACAAAGAAAAAACAAAATGACAGCCTTCAGAGCTCCAACCCAGGTTTGCATCCATCTTCAGAAATTGAAGCGAGTCCTCAAAACCAAACCTCTTCTTTTACTGTCACTACAGTCCAAACATCTGCTCCATTTGAAACAATCAGCCATGATGTGACATACATTGAAGACACTCCAAACGATAACCTTCCACAATCTTCCACGCAGTCTCTAAGCGCTAACACTTCTCACAGCAGTGACATTATTTTTGTTGGCCCCTTTTCTGACAGTGAGCCAATAAATTTGGATGACACCCTGATTTTTTCTCCACAACCTGGTCCATCCAGTGAGAGAGTGAGGAGAGTAGTGGTGGTCCACAGAGGGCAGGTAATGTCAGAGCTCATTTCACATTTTAGTGATAAGGACCTTGAAGATGTCGACATCAAAATCCAGGTCTTACTGCCTGATGGAACACCTGAAATGGCCCATGACGATGGGGGAGTTGTGAGAGACTGTCTTTCAGAATTCTGGAAAGAATTCTATGACCAGTGCACCACTGGAAATGTTTACAAAGTGCCATTCTTAAGGCATGATCTTGGGCAACCGGAGTGGGAGAGTGTGGGCAGAATCATTGCATTTGGATGGGTTAGAGAGAAATATCTGCCTGTGAAAATTGCCCCTGCCATTCTGGAACAAGCTGCCTTTGGATATGTAAAGAGTGATATTGTGGAGAATTTCCTAAAGTTCATGCCTAACTCTGAGCGTACAGTGTTAGAGGCGTGGCGATCAGACTTTAGCACCGTGGACCAAGAAGAACTTATAGACATACTTGATAACCACAGCTGCAGAAAGATACCAACAGCCTGCAATGCCACTGAAGTCCTATTGGAGCTTGCACACAAAACACTTGTCCAAGAGCCTGCCTATGTTATTGAACAGTGGGCAAGAACACTCAGCACTGCATGGGAAAGCCTTTGTGATCTATCTTCAGTTTATGAAACCCTCCAACCAACTGTGAGAAAAGTTCTCAAGTGTCTCACTTTCCCTGAAACAATGACGGCTCACCAGAAGCTGATTCAGAAATATCTAACTACATATGTGAAGAATGCTGAGAAGGAACATTTGTGTTTGTTCCTCAGGTTTTGCACAGGTTCAGATTTACATCTGGGAAAGAACATCATCATTGGGTTTAACGAACTGAAAGGTTTCCAGAGACGACCTGTGGCACACACATGTGGGTGTGTACTGGAGCTGTCGATAAATTATGACAGCTATCCTGACTTCAGATCGGAGATGAACAGTGTGTTGGAATCAAATGTGTGGGTTATGGACATTATATAAAGGTTTGATTCACGGACAATGGCTTAAAAGCCATTGTTGTTTTACAACAGATTATATTTGAGTTGTGAACTAAGACTAAAGTGTTCCCATGTGAATGTCACAGCAAAGGTTTCAGGTGTTTAAAAACTGAGTTCCAAGAAAAAGTATTTGGTGAAATACCGTAATGTAATGCAATTTGAGGTACTTCTTTGTGTTTCTGTGTTTTCCTATTACAACTGAGGCAATATTTTTCTAAACACTTGTGAAATGAATTTCTGCAGAGGTCTCAGAGTGGCAGTCTGGAGACCATTTATAAGCATTCCCATTTCCTCAGTCAGCATGTGTGCATGTGAACAATGAAAGCAGTTTTTCCACCTTTTATTCATTTTTTCTATTATTTGAATCCAAAATCAACTTTAAAAAATGCATTAGGTTAATTTTAATTTGTCAAATTTTATTAATGTAATGTCAAAAGATGACATGTATTGTAGTGGTTCACCAGAAAATTAGAGATTGAGACCCCTGCAATATGTAGTGTATAGTACATGTAGGAGATATATGCAATATCTCCTACATGTTTTATCATCGTGCACACATTTTACAGTTTACAAGTCAGGTTTTACTTTATCATTGTATTTTATTACAGTTATGTTTGTACAGTTCTGTTTAGCCATCTGGGTTATGGTGACTTTTGCTAAATTGAATGGCCATAAGGCACACCTATATGCTTTTATTTTGGATTTCTGTGAAATCAGCAATTGCTTAGCTGAAGGTTGATTTTTGGTTGGCTTTTCCTGATTTTTGTAATGGAAAAAAACCCCTGTGTATCATAGCCCCCTTTTTCAAAACTACATAGCCGATGGGGTAGTTATTTAAAAGATATTTTCCTATATTTCTGTTTTCATGTTTGAGCCTAATGTATTTGCTTCATAGTGGTTTTAGACCACACATTCTTATTCTTTAATTGTAGGATATTGTTATCAGATCTTGCCATATTATCCTCAATCTCTTTTTATTGTCCCATTCTTTTTGTATTTTTAATAATAATTGAACTTTTGCAAAACATATTGCATATTTTTGTTGAGTGTATTATCGTACTTTTTCCAAGTCTTGTGCTTGCAATTAGCTTTTTATAAGAATACTTTAAGGTTTTTTGTGTTACTGTAAATACAGTACAGTTATTTTGTTTTAAGACAAGATGATGGCAAAAGATCTGTGTTTTATAATAAAGTGTTCAATGAGACAAATTACATCTTTAATTTTGGTAATTTCTGGGTTTTTATTATTCTGAGGCGCAATCTGAAAAAAAAAAAAGGTCCATAAATCTCACTCAGTTAGGTTATCCATATGCTAAAAAATATATAATTATACTGCCCATAATCAGGAAAACAGTCAGTATATATAAAAAGTCTCAGCAGTGAAAAAAATGACAGTGAAAATTTTTTTTACTGCTACATAACCAGATATTTCAAAACATCAATAATTACTCAAATAAAAAGAAAGATGAAAAAGCATATTTACAAAAAGTTGAAATCATAATTCCAAGGTGACATGCGCTGCATATCCTCCAAATAGCAGGTCTAACAGACATTATGTTTACATATGTTTTAATAATAAGGCTTTTAAAACAAAAAATTGGTTTGTTAATTGAAATAAACCATCCAAAAAAAAAAACAACCCTCCAAAAATTAAATACAATTTTTATAGCCTTTTTCAATTGGCCCTGTTCGTGAAATACATTTTCAGGCCCTCAAAACCCATGTATGTGTGCCCCAAAAACGACAACCATCCAAAAATTAATAACTCATAAAAGTTTACAATTTAAATATGAAAATACAGAATTAAAAATGCATAACGATGTCTAACCTTTAAGGCAAAAGCTCCAACTCAGTAAGCATCAACTGCCTTAGCTTTACATACAGATCCACTGTATGAAGCACATCATCTGAGAAGTCCAGGTTATGTTCTGACATGAGTTCTACACAGAGATGAAAGACATCCTCTTCACATGGAAAGTCTTTGAACACGCATTCTTCAAGGCAGGCTTCAACTTTGTCCATATTGACATGTTTGAGACAGTCCCTCGCGCCATAAATGTCTGGGAGGGCATACATAAAAGATGGTCGGCCATGAGGACTTCGGGAGTTGTGGACTGGGCGCATTCTGTGGTCATTCCAGGCCAAAGCAACTTCATTTAATTCTTCCTAGATGAAAACAAAATGAACAAAAGAAACATTTTCAGGCATACAATATGAAAATGTTAATGTACAAAAGCACAACTAACTTCTACATTGATTTTCTTAGCTTACACACCATTAATTTAGCTTTGAGCTACATTAATGATATATATCCGTATATATACACACACACATACCTATACACACACACACACACACACACACACACACACACACACACACACACACACACACATCATGAACAGACAGATACTTATTTACTTAGTTTTGACCCACCAAAAATGCTAACCGAGTACAGAGAGAGGCCTAAACACATAAATAATCAATGTGTTATAATGTATAATTGTGTTCCTTGATATATATGTGAAATTTTTTTTTTAACAAAACAGTTTAAAAAAAAAAAAAAAAAAAGCACTACTTTTCACGTGTACTTTAATATATCTGATGTTTCTATAATATACAAAGGCCGTGTGAGTTGTTACAAATTAAACAGTTACAATACATGTCGTTTACACAGTCACCTATGTAAACTCACCTGTATAATGTGAAGAAAACAGAACTGGACCAATGATTTGTCCAAGAAAGAGTCTGAGAAGTGGCCATCCTCTCTTAGTTTGTCAAATAGTTCAATCCAGTACTGGATACACTGGCTTCGTAAGATTAGCCACCATCTTTCAATGCGTTGATTTCCTGTACTTGCTCCAAATATGACGTGCTCTCTTTCTGGTTCATTGTCTGTAAAGTGCAAAAATCGTTGCATGTGAGCCACATGGACGTTTTCTGTTCCTAGATCTAATCTCACTCGATCAGGGCAACCACCTTGTTGAATCACGGCATCCATGAAGTAGCCAGCAATTACTCTCGGGTCATTATTTGTCTTGTAAGCGTCTAGCCATATTATACTCCTTGAAAATCCGTCAATGCATCCACTGATTGCAATCCCAAATGGCTTCAGTTTATCGTAGCCGTCGATATGCCACACATAGTTGGGGCCTCTGCTATGATACACTCGCCTCCGCAGTCGTCTACGTGACCTCAAATCCACACCTTCTCCATCGAATAAACGGAGCAGAAGACGAACGGTTTCTCTGTCAGTAACAATGCCATTCATCCAACACTTCTGGTGCATCCAACGATACCCATGACACTGTCCTGAGGTTGCCAATTGTGCTTGTATAAAAGCTGCCACCTCTCCCACCTCTGTTTTGTTCTTTCTGCGCCAAAGTCGGTTGTTGTGTAAAATCCTTTCAAGTGTACGGAGGCTGATAGTAATGCCATGTGATTCAGCTAATAATGCAAGAATCTCCTCATTTGTGAAGCCACGCTTAAAATACTCAGCAATTTGTGAATTCATGATCCGTATCTATAATTAGCATTTCTGTAGCATTTGTAGCTGAGGGCTTCAGCTTCCGGGTAACACGGAAATGACGTCATTCACATAGATTACTGATTGGCAGAGCTAACTCGAAATTATGAGAAAATAACTCAAAATTTCGAGTTATTTTTCTCATAATTTCGAGTTATTAAGTCGAAATTTCAAGTTGCTAAGTCGAAATTTCGAGTTGCTAAGTTGAAATTTCGAGAAAATAAGTCGAAATTTCGAGTTAAGTATCCTTTTTTTTTTTTTTTTAGTGGCGGAAACGGGCTTCCATAGAAGCCCGTTTCCGCCACTAAAAAAAAAAGAAAAAGCTAGTATCCATAACTCGAAATTTCGAGTTATTTTCTCGAAATTTCGAGTTATTATCTCGAAATTTCGAGTTACTTTTCTCAAAATTTCGAGTTATTATCTCGAAATTTCGAGAAATATAACTCGAAATTTCGAGTTACTTTTCTCAAAATTTCGAGTTAGCTCTGCCAATCAAAATATACGTGAATGAGGTCGCTTTCTTGTTACCCGGAAGCATATGGCGCAGGACCGCGCACTCAAAAACGGATCCCAACAAATTAAAGTATGTTTGCTGATAGTAACACCATGTGATTCAGCTAATAACACAGGGATTTCATCATTTGTGAAGCCAGGCTGAAAACACTCAGCAATCTGTGCATTCACGACTGGATGTAATACCAGTAGCTTAGCTGTAGCATTTGTAGCTGAGGGCTTCAGCTTCCGGGTAACATGGAAATGACGTCATTCACGTAGATTACTGATTGGCAGCGCTAACTTGAAATTTCGAGTTGCTTTTCTCAAAATTTTGAGTTAATATGTCGAAATTTCGAGATAATAACTCGAAATTTCGAGAAAATAACTCGAAATTTTGAGTTATGGATCCTTTTTTTTTTTTTTTAGTGGCGGAAACGGGCTTCCATAGGCTTCCATTCATAACACTGTCGCGGCTCCATTTTCAGGCACAGAGGAAGTGGCACTTTAAGGAAGGTGTTAAGAATGGTGGGGGGTGGGGTAAAAGTGAAAAAGGAGGTAAAAGATGCCTGCAATCTAGATGTCTAAACTGCTGGCAGGAAAAATGCCTCTTAAAGTGCAGCAATCAGTCGTCAGAAGACTTAACACGATGCTCTTCGTTGCAGAAGGAGATGTTTTCAAAACTAACTTAACACACGATGAGGATTGCGTGCTTCAAAGTAACAGGCTAACTTTATGATTAAACGGACAGTCCAATCAGTCTGATCAGTGCGTTAATGCCAAGGCACAAAGCGAAGTGGGCCACAATCATCCGAGTGCGGCTCAGTTAATAAATACCATATACCGAAGCGGCGCTCTCTTTTGATTAAGCTGCGTGAAATCTCCAAAGTGGACGAAGAGGTGACGAGAGGTATCCCATTAATGTCAGAGTGACTTCCAAGGAGGGCTGGAGGGCAACAACGGCTCCCCCAGGACAAAAAATTAGACTACGGAAGATTTGTCAAAGACAAGTAGCTCTTTATGAAATAATATGCTTCCGACTGCGAGGCTCATGCTCGTCATTTGGCAGAACTGCCTTCTACATCACAGCACTGCAGGATGCTGACATTCACACCATGGAGTGAGTGTGATCAGCTCTCACCCAGGAAGATGAAAAGTGGTTTATATAGAAACTGAGAGGCAGTATCATATGGTTGCACCTGGTGACAGAAGATGGTGAGAACTGAGCCATTTTAAACCCAGCAGCTCTCTTTAACGAGAGCACTTTCACTTCCTTTGCAATTTAAACATCTTGTTTGCATCAGATATTCTCAGTCATGCTGATTTCTGTTTTATCCACATCTGAGTAACGCAGCTGACTCCTCCGCCGAAACGGCACCGAAGCTGAAATCATCAACAGTTGTTTATCGAGCTGGCTATGCTTTTAAACTCCGAACAAGTCAGGTCAGGGGGAACTTAAGAGCAAACGCTGACTCATGCTGTCCCCATCTACTTTGGCCTTGATGACAGTGGAGGATCATTAAGTTGCTAACAGCAGGAGAGGGAAGACAAGCGTGGCTGAACACATCGCCGTCTAACAGCCATCATCTCCTCTGCCAGTGCTGTAAAGCTCTTTGGTGTGATTTTGATTATAAACCTGTAATGTTGGGTTGATCTACTGGGCATTAAAGCTAAACACAGACACAAAGTTTTGTTTCAAGGTTATTTCAATATCCACTTCCGTTGCTTCTCCGGTTCTGTTGATTTTATGTATTGGACTAAAATTGTGAAATACTTCAGTTGAGGTTCCCAGTTAATTACAGGGACAAATCGTCCTTTCCTTTAGTTTGACTCTTGAAGCCCTATGGCCCTTAAAGCCATTATTTTTAAGACCCACCTCCCCGTACTCCTGTTCCCAAATTATCTTCTGGCATTAATGAACCAAATTATGACTACTGACAGATCAGGTGAATAACTTTGATTAGCTCGTAACATCAGTGCATGTTGGGGTCGTTGGGATAAGTTACGTTAGACAGTAACAGAAAGTTCTTATAGTGAACCCTGATGTTGATGAACCTGCATGTTGCGTTTAATAATTAATTATTGTATCTTTCCAAAAATTTCAATCTGATATTTCTCACCCAAAAAATTGACCATTACAAGAAAAAAAAATCCAAGTTACTGTTAGGGTCCCTGGGTCGTTGACCCAGTGTTTTGTGTTTTTGGTTCTTTGATTTTGTTATTTCATTATATTCTAGCTTTGCTTTATGGGTTTTAGGATCATTCTTAGTTTAGGTTCTCTGGGTGGGGTTGGTTAGAGTTTTAGTGTTCTGGTTTTCTGTCTGTGTTCCATAGTTGCTGTCTTCCCTGTCTGCTGTATCCCCACATCCAGTCAGTGTTTGTGTCTGCCCTGGTCCCACGTCTCTGTTCCCTCTGTAGTGCCTGCATGTGAGTCTGTGTTATGTGTTTCCTGTTTTACTTTGAAGGTCTCTGTCTTATCTCAGTGTGTTCAGGTTACGCTTCTTCTGATTTGTCCCAGCTGTGTTTCCCTCCTGTTACTCATTCCCTGATTGCTCCCTCTGTGTATTTAAGCCCTGTGTTTCTCTGTGTCTGTGTTGCGATCTACCGTTTATTTTGCTGTGTGTTTTGCCAGTCCACCGGTGTTAGTTTATTTTCAGTTTTTCCCAGTTATGTTATGTTTGCGTTCAGCATTAAAGCTGTTTTGGTTTAAGTTTGTCTCCGGAGTCTGCATCTTGGGTCCTATTCCTGTTTGCACACAGCCGTCACCTAACAGTTACAGTTTTTCTTGATTGCTTTCACCTGCCTAAAGAAACTGAAACCCACTCAGTTTTCATCATGACTATCTCAGCAGAGCAGAAGATACTGCTTGGAAATGTGTTAACCCTTTCTCATTGGATTGACACATTTTCCACACCCTTTAGCAAAACAGTTAACAAAAATGTCATTCAAGCAGTCCAAACCCCATTGTTTTAGCTATGGTAACCAAACAGAAATCACCTATTCCTAACTATTAGAAACTACCTAGATCGGTATGAAATCAATGCGCAGCTGTTTGACACTCCTTCACACACAAATCTTCACTGAGCAATCAGTCTGCAGGCCTTCAAAGGTGCCACATCTGTATTGTTCTTTACCAGCATGTAAAGCATGGCATATTAAAGTGAGTCTCAAAAGTGGCAATTTCTCCTTCTGTAATAGATTTTATTTTGGTTTACATGTATTTTCTGTAATATTTCCAGTATTTCAGTTTTCAGTCACAGTCATGCTGTGATGCAGCAGTCAACTTAATCAAGAAAAACTGTAAAATCTTCTAAATGACTCACAAGGCTTATCTCGTACTTTCTAGCTTGAGTGCTGGTCATGGATTTTGCATTATTTAAAATAGATTTTATTTTGTTCATTTCACCTCTCAAATGTTTTTAATCCCAGTTCGAACCATGTAAAGCACTTAAAACTTTAAAGCATCTCCATCCAGTAAGAGATTGCTCGAGGTCTCTGTGTTTTATTACTACATTTTCTTTGTAAATTACACAGTATGCTGACTATGTGAGGAGGAGCACAGTGCCACAAAGGCACTCTAGTGGAGATACAGGGGGCAGTATAATCTCACTGATGTGGCTACACCTCATTCCTCCCTCTTGTCCTATAGCTGCACCTTACAGGCCTGACTGAGATCAGCACTGCGTTTTATGTGTGCAGTGTTACTACCTCATAGTTGTGACTGTCCCTGAGTAGCTGAAAGGTCACAGTGAACGCAGATTAAATCTGTGATTTACTGTTGCCGGTCTGTTGTGTGGTAAAACTACTTTTAGCTCTTTGAATCATGTTAGAGGGGATAAAAGAAGAATAAAACACCAGGGCTTCAACTAATGTTTCTGATAATTTTAAGAGCGGTCTTATAAGTAATTACTTGTTCATGATGCATGATCAATCATCCAGGTAAGGAAATCCCAGAAAATTTATTCTGTTCATCTCGATGTAGCGTTTTCAGTGGGAGAAACGTTTCGTCACACATCCGACTGACATCAGCTGACTGCAGGTTTCTCCAACCTTATAAACAGTACATTTGCACAATAAGTGAAACTAGCACCACTGATGAACAATGGGCTGGGATATCAGTTTCCTGATCATTAACATGCAAATTGTCAAATCAAAGACCACTGATCAATGGCCATGAGTACCATTCACAGAGTTGAGGAATGGCTGCAATCACAGCATTGTAAGATGGTGAAAGATGTACCCTTAGGCCCCCTCCTCAATTCAGAGATGGTCTTTCGCTTTTCACGTAAATGACCTCCTTGACTCCACGCTCAAACCAGCGTTCCTCCCTGTCCAGGATATGTACATCCTCATCATTGAAAGAGTGTCCACTGGCCTGTAGGTGTAAATAGACTGCAGAGTCCTGGCCTGACGAGGTAGCTCTTCTGTGTTGTGCCAGCCGCTTCACCAGAGGTTGTTTGGTTTCCCCGATGTATAAATCCTGGCAATCCTCCTGGCACTTAACAGCGTACACTATGTTACTCTGTGTCGCGGGACCCGATCCTTGGGATGGACCATTTTTTGGTGCAGGGTGTTTTGGGGTTTAAAACCACAGAGACGTGGCGTTTAGAAAAAATGCGTCTCTCCCGGATCGCCTGGAGCTTTCTTTAGACGCCTTCCTTTGACAAATGTCCAGCTGGGATAACCACATTTACTCAAGAGCCTTCTTGATGTGACGTTCTTCCGCTTCCCTGGCCGTTGTGTCTGTGGGGATAGTGTTCGCTCTATGTTATAGAGTCCTGATGACATTCAGTTTATGCTTCAGTGGATGATGAGAGTCAAACCTTAAATTCTGATCCGTATGTGTAGGTTTCCAGTACACATCAGCTTTTAGATGTCCCCCATTACTGATGGAAATCTCACAGTCTAAGAAGGCTAACTTGACACTTTTCATATCCTCCCTGGTGAATTTGATGTTTTGGCCCATCGAGTTAATGTGATCAGTGAATTGTGGTACATCCTGAGATTTCACTTTCACCCAGGTGTCATCTGCAAACCTGAACCAATGACTTAGTGGTGTTCCAGGGTAGGATAGAAAAGAGAGATGTTATAGGTGACTGAGTTGATCATACAGACATTTGGTCTTAAACGTTGGCCGTGTTTATATCTTTGGTAAACCATATAGACTTGGTGTAGATTCCCCTGGGTGTATAGCCTGTGGTATGAAGTCTGGTCAGTATTGTCCTGTTCTAACTGCTTCAGACGATCTATCACCCTCTTCCCTCTTCCTGTTACCACTTCTGTTTCAGGGGCTCATAAGTATTGGGTTTGGAATTGCTGTTTCTGTGATCAGTTACACTACTAGGATTTGTCTCAGTTGTCATAGATCAGTGGTTGTTGATCAATGATATGACAATTTACATATTAATGATCAAGAAACTGACCTCACGTTGTTTGCCAGTGGTGCTAGTTTCAGTCATTGTGTAAAGGTGCTGTTTATAAGGCTGGAGAAACCTGCAGTCAGCAGAGACTAATGAGTGATGAAACATTTCTCCCACTGAACATGCTACGTCCACATGGACAGAAACAATCTTTTTGGGAGTTACTTATTCAGTTAAAGAAAATGCAAATGGCCTCAAGTTTCCCTGAACCCAAGATAAAAATTAGTTTTCAAGGATAAAGAGCTGTTCAAAGCAGCAAATTGGTACATTTAAAAACTTCACTGTCAGGCTAAGCAATGCAAAGTAGATTTTGCCAAAAGATCTACATTACACACTAATTTAAATGTTTGAATAAGAACACTGACTATTAAAATGCATAATAAATGTAGCTCTAACCACAAAAACAAAGGTTGATCAACAGATACAAACAATTGAAACGAGTAAATTATTTTTACATTTAAGATGATATAGGATGATGAACTTTATACACTGTGACAGATGGAGGCCTAGTAAAAAGAGCAACAAAGGACTTTCATGCAGAAGACTGGGGTTTGAGTCCTGCATGAAAGCTAGAGTTGATTTGACCTAGCTCACTTATTCGTTTTTAACGATTATTTCTAGTTTTTAGTCACAGATGACACTTGGACATCTCATCCTCAAGTTAGACCCTTTCACAGTGTTAATCACAAAAAGATTTCCTACCTTGAAGGGATGTGAGGAAAAATGAAACATCAGAGCTCTTAACACCTCATTTTATTGTCCCAACATTCAAAAGTACAAATAATTCAAACACAACAGTTTTATGAAAAAGAAAAAACAAACATTTACAGCAAGATTTTTATTTTGTTTCCAGTTTCAGAAATGACCTAAACTAGCAAGGATAACATGAAGTCATTCATCGCAGTAATTGGATTAATAATAAGAATAAGAATACTAAGAATAATAGCAATAATAATCATAATAATCATCATTGATAATTGTTAAGTAATAACATAAGCAGGAGAGAGTAGAGAGAGCCGCGGTCATGGGGCCCCGTGAACATTTTTTCGTCTTTTTTGTCTTTAAAGATTTCATTTATAGATTTTTCAGATAGTAAACAAACACGTCTCAGGAGGAAAATGAAAACTGACAAGAAGAGCCTAGTTCCTCTGTTCACCTTCCCTCCTCCACTACTGGCTGCGTTGTTCCTACTGGCAGGCTGCCACTATAAGGCGCTACAGGGGATGGTGTGAGCCATAGGGGTTGGGCATAGAGCGAGGTGACGCAGCCCCATGTTTCAAACACCCTGACATGCACACACATTCGCACACACATTCTGAGCTGTCTCAGTCACTTGCGCGCGCAGGTGCACTCAGGGACACACACATCTGTATATATGTGCCAAGAAATTAATTAAAAAACAAAAAAAACAAAGAGGAAAGCACAGACACTGAACATATGTATATACTGTACATACACACATGGATGTACTCCACACTAACAAACGCATGTGGACAAACACACAACACGCACACAGTTACTTAAAGGAACATGCATACAAACATGCACAAATGCGCGCGCACGCACACACACACACACACACACACACACACACACACACACACACACACACACACGTGCATACAGGGTTTAGGCGGAACACAGGCACGCATCGTAAGAGTTCAAAAGTCATACAGTGTAGGAAATAAGTTCACACATCAGAACATTCTACTGGGGTCGTTGCATAATTCAAGCTCCCGACTGCAGCGGGGAGCATGAAGGGGTCTGGTTGGTTGGTTGGTTTGTTGCTGTCATGACATTTTCGAACATTAAGCAACAGGATGGCAAAGATGACGGTTGGATAATGGTAATGATATTAAATGACCCAGCTTGTCAGATGAGTGAGGTGTGAGAGAGGAGGATGTACTATGCGAGCATGCGTCTGAGTGTTTCAAATGCTCTCCGCACACCTCCTTCATGTTTTCAAGTCTTAACAACAAACAAAAAAAATCCAATTTCTTATATTTATACTTCTGGAACCATTCCCCCTACCTTTCACCTTTCAAAATATATAATATATATCATATTAGAGTATATAAAATATAGAATCGGTACAATCCCTTTTTATACCTCCAGAGTACTTCTTATGTATAGCAACAACTGCTGGAAAGAACAGTTGGTGTGCAATGGTAACAATTTCTCAAAGCTTTGTTGGTACGTCATTTGAAAACATGATGAACATTCTTAAAAATAAGTTCTGACTCTTTGACCGATTTAGTCCAGTGCAATGAATGACCCTCGAACAACAATTTTTAATGTCTGTCTGCCCGAGCCTCCGAGAGCTGAATGTCATACAAAATGCTAACCGAAACGGAAAACTATGCTTTCAGACCCACATTTTTGCATAAGGTTTCATCACAAAGCGGTAGTAAGTGGAGGGAGGGTGTGGACGGAGTGGCTTATTAGAACTACACAAACTTATCACAGGTTATATTGAACCAGAACGACTGTTTATAACATTCTATTAAGACTAAACTTTATTGAAAAAGATCTAAAGATTTCATTTTAACAAGACAAGAAAAAAGCAATAGCAAATTGAACTATTAACTAGGTTATGCATAGCGAGTAACTGTTTCTAGTAATAAGGGAAGAGCGTCCCCCGACCCTCCAGACATTTTTTTCAGTTTTCTTGACTTTTAGATTTTTTTTATATTGTAATTTTGATATATTGGTACAAAGCACAAACGTACTAAAAGTTCTCTCAGTGCAGTGGACTACTGGAAGAGCCTCTCCACTAGTCGCTTTGTTCCCTTTTGCTCAGAAACGCCCCCCTCCCTGTACCAGAATCACGCAAATACACAGACAATGAAACAAACAAATAAATACATAAATACACAGATAAATTAATGAATCATAAATATAGAATAAATACAAATAAATAGAAAAATAAATAGTTTCAAAAATAGATAAGGAAACAAACCGTTAAACCAACACGTTTATACTCTAAGCTTTTGTTCGGTTTCTTTTGCCGCGGTAGTTAACTAAAAGTTAATCCAATTTTTTTTCTCCACAAGCAACATGACAACAATTGAACAGTTTCCTCACAAGTTTTTCTAAGTAACTGAACCACCACTTCATAATAAATTGTCATATGAAAAAGACAAGCTCAAACGAACAAAAGAACAGTGACAACTCAGATAGTACAGTAGATATTGTAAAACAAATGTAGACTATATATATATTTATATATATCATCTATTTGTACACAGCAAATAAAGACACAGTTGTCATAGATCCTTTTTAAGGAAACAAATATCTAGACTAACGGAACTAGCTAATCATCATTAAGTTTTGACAAACGTTTCACGCTCAGCAAGTAACCTAAAAGTCAGCAAACCAACAAAAAAAACCCCCAAAAACAAATAAAAAATTTGTTCAGTGATTCTTACAAGGCCCGATTTAGTCAAATCTGATTATTCAGTAAAGAAATAGTCTCACCAGATTTCTGGGCCAACATTAAACAAATATTAAACAAAGAACAGCAGCTCAATTCAATGCCAACATCAAAGTAGTTTTTTTTCTTTAAACAACACATAGAACAACAAACTTGGATATTTAAGATATGTGAATAATGTAGTATAGCACCTACTGTTGATCGCTAAAAGGAAGTTCTTCTCAAATGTAAGAGCGAAGAAAATGATATAGATAATGTATAGTATGCTTCTAAATGGATAGATGTGTATATATCTATTTACTGAGATCCCATATCGACTGATGACAAAAACAGGAAAACAAGCGGACAAAGGGTCTTCTTGCTTTGGGCTCTGGACTGTGAGGATGGTTAGGCCTCGGAAAGACCCCTCTCCCTTCCCTTTTGGGTATCGCTGAATAATTATGCACTAGTACATGTGTGAAAAATTACCAAAATCACCTGCCTCAGATTGCATCCTTTGTTCACAAAACCTTCCATCTACAAAATCGCTACCAACTTGGATTCCCCAAAAAACAACCTCCGATCCTATAAAGTACCACGGCAGAACGACAAGACAAGGTGGTGCCCCCTCCCACCCGCCCCGGCCCCCCCTAGTTAGCCAGTCAAAATATTTTTCTCTTTTTTTCAAATCCAGATTCTTGTAAAAATTCTTCAATAATTATTATTTTAATTATCATTTATAAAAATAGATCTTTCTATTTATTTTTATCTTTTTCTAAACGTGTTTTTTTTTCCAAGCAAAGAGATCTTCTCTTTGGCAACAGTGATATTTTTTTTTCTTAAATTACTGAACGTGTCATCAGCAAAGCTAACCCATCCCCTCCCTTGCCCCATCTCCCTGAACCCCAAGTGAGGAAAGACATTATGTTTTGTTTGCGATACAAAACAAAAACAATGTTAGAAATTCATTTTTTTTCTACATCAGAGTTACCGGGATCCCGTGGAATCCCGTTTGTAATCGGTAAGGGGACGCTTTGAAATACACGCTAAAAATGAATGAATGGTTCACCAATTTAAAAAAGAGCCGCCTCCCGTTTACTAGACGGGGAGGTATATAATACTACCGACAGTGGATCCGGATTTACAAAAGAAAAACAAATCCTGAATCAAGACAGAGAAAAGGCTCCAATCGAAAGAGGACGTTCTCTTCTCTGAAATAAGGGGATACAGGGATTTGCTACTGTTTTACACAGAAGAGAAAAAACATTATAACAACCACAAGAAACAGAAAGAATATACAACAAAGAGAAGCCTGCATTATCGCAGGAGCTTCCCAAAACTTGTGAACGTTTTCATCATTTCATTTTTGTAATACTTAGGCAACGTTGGCTTATAGGTCCAAAGTTATAATATAAGCCATTTCTAGTTCAATTTGCTTGATGGTTTGTTGGTTGCTTTATGTTCCGGTTGGAGTTTGCTGTGTTGGATGGCTGTAGTAGGGTGGTAGTGGTAGTGACTGAAGGGGCTAAGGGATGGGTGGAGGTGGGGGTAGGGGGGGTTGGGGGCAATTTTGGAGCAGACAAAGTCGCGGGGCAACTGCTTCTACCTGGTAAAGTTCAGGACTTGTGTGTCTTGTTAGTCTTGAAGGAGACTTGCAAGACGCGGTCGCCCAACCTGTAGCCGTTGAGACTGGCGATGGCCATTGCCGCCTCGTCGTAATTTGTCATGGTGACGAAGCCGAAGCCTTTGCACTTGTTGGTGTTGAAGTCACGGATCACCTTGACGTTGTTGACTGCGCCGAACGGCCCAAACAGCTGCCAGAGCACGCTTTCGTCTGAATCTGGGGACAGGTTGTACACAAAGATGCACCAACCGGTGCCCGTGTGCCCGGGGATGTTCATGCCAACCAGGCTGGTCATGCTGTCAATAGTGATAGGTGAAAACCTGAGAGGAGAGGCACAGTTGGGAGGAAGAAGAGAAAACGGCAAGCGTTAACTGGGCAAGTTGAGGCACACAGAGAAACAGTGTCTGCATCTGCTGTACATGAAATCGCCCTAACCAGTGAAAAACAAAAAGGTCCTGCCATGATCCTCGCCTGAATCGCACGCTACTCTCTACAGCCAAATAGTCTGGTCAAGCCACTGATCTCAAAGCCAAACCACACCATATCAGATAAACATGCAAGTACTCCGTACGAACGTATGTGCAAATATGTCAGGGCAGTCTGCATTCGTTTGCTAAGCTGCCACTAAATCCTGCAAGAACTCTTTGGCTCTGAAAAGTCTCCTGTCTGGAATGATGACGGCGCTGTGTGCGCTATGCTGTATTTCTGCTGAAGGAGATGCAGATGAAGGTTTTCTCTTTGTGCCCCTGAGTGGCTCCTTTAGGTGTTAAATTGCAGGAAGTCGCTGAATTAAACTGTTGCTAGAAATTCATGAAAGATCATGCACCAGCCTGCTAAATCTGTTCTCATTCGCCTCATAATCTTCTCCTTTTTCTTGTGATGCAAGAGATTTGAATCCTCAGTTGACTTCACTTAATTGCCTTTCCGCTCAAAGGAAAGAGAGAGGAGAAAAAAATACCCCCACCTTTAAATAAAAGGTAAATGAGATAAAAAGGTTCATTTCTTATGCCACCTCTCTTCAAGAAACGACTATAGGCATTATTGGGAGTGCTTTAATTGAGATTTCCGCTTTGCTGCAGCTGTCTCAGAGATGGCTGCTTTCTTAAGGAAAAGGAGGGAGGGAAGAGGGAGCAAACTAAATGGAAAATGGAAGCACTTTACAGCCCAGTGGCATTAAGGTACAAAGTGTATTCCTCCCCCCTTCTCCCCTCCTGCAGAGCGTTCTGATCTGTTCTACTCCAGAGCTCGTGGCACTGATCGATAGCGTTGCTTGCTGCTCAGGGCCCAGAGCCTCCTGTTTCCAGTGACTATATGTGGTCAATCACTACGACCTTCCTGCATGACTTTGGTCATACAGAGTTTGCTTGCAGTTGTTTTGGATGCTAATACTTGCCTCAGGTTAGCAAGATCATCAACCGTAAGGAGCTCTTTGCAGCAATTACACTTTTGTGATTTAGATCAAATTAGTGTGTATAATTAAGATGACATGGACTCATAGTTATAAATCTGCAATATTTTGATCTATTTTTTTTTTAAATTACCTACCACCACAAGACTCTTGCAACAAGAAACTAGGTTATAATAGACACCAAATCATGTGGCCTCCCTTTCTTGTTGAGAGGATCCTTTAGGATGAATCGTAAAAGGCCTCACTGTCTGACATGCTCAGCCACACTCAGGCCTCTCTTATGTTTAAAAAAACTTCATGCCAATTGTAAATTTAAGCTGGACAACGTCAGGTTTCTGGCTAAATGAAGGCTAGCTTACACTGGATTTGTGAAGGTGGAAATGAGTGTGCCTGTATGTATGTGTGCGTATGGGTGTAAGCGTGTATGCAAGCATACCCACCAGAGTGGGACCGAGCACTAACCAATGTTACAGACCAGACCACGGGTTGCATAGCAACTGTGTAGCTGACCAGATATCTATTCTGTCCTTTCTAACGCTAAACCATTTCCAGCTCTTAACACTTTCCTTCTCTTTCCTTTCAAAAAATAGCCCCAGATCACTGAAAAACACTTGCAACTTGATGACATGCTTTGCAATCAGGACCGCTAAATCAGACACCTATTTTCACCTTTTAATAAAATGATGTAAAGACTCGGGTTGAGGGTAAAGTGCTTACTGGAGAGCGTTAAACCTTTGAATGTCATATTGCATCACTATGAGAGTGTTATTCTGCAAAAACATGATCTTGTTTGGCAAAATTACAGGTTTTTAGAGGAACTTGCAAAGAGAAAATATCTCTCGAGCTAAACCTTGGGTTCTGTTTGAGTTTCTAAGCTGACTGACTGATGATGCCCCCTGTGCTTGCAACATGCAAGGTGCCACCGTCAGCACATGGAACATCTATCACCACAGTGGCTGCTGCTCTGGGTTATGTAACACCTATGCTGGTGAGAAAGCAAAATGAAACATGGAGGCGAAGGAAAGGAGTTTGAGCAGAGCAGTGCTGAGCAAAGCTGGAACTGTCTGCAGTGAAACAGCATTTCTTGTTTCCAGCAGGGATCCAGGTTCATCTAGCCTTATCAGAAGTCCTAGCTAAACTTTTCTTGAATTCTATTAGCACTACCAAGAATGTGTGCAAAATTTTTATTTTGTCATAGGTTGTATCTGACTGACAAAATGTTTGATTCTAACATACATTCACAGTGACAAATTTAAAATTTGACCCTAAAGGGAGACCAAGCTCTAGATTTATGGCGACAAGGCAGGAGAACCTGAATCCAGTAGAAATAAAACCAACACACCTAGAAATGAGAAGTTTTACACCAGAGAACAAAATCTGTTGAAACAACCCAAAACAATCCAAACAACACCAGCACTTTCATAATCAAAACAAAGCAAATTCATCACCACTGAAAACAAGGCTGATTGGGTTTTTTTTTTTTTTACACTTTGAGTGGTTGGGAAGGTTTTAAAGCCAACTGAAGCTGACGGGGGAAAAACATACAAACAAATCAAAGAACCAAGAATGCAGTTGACCTTGAACAAATTTGCAAATGCAAAGTGATTGCAAAAATGCAAGGAAAAAAATAATAAAAAATAAATAATAAAAACAAACAGGAAAAAAGGATATTGAAAAATCACTGAGTCAACATGGACATCTGGCATTGGGTGAAGTTTTTAATTACCTCTTTACGCCATAGGCCATATTAAGCAAATTGTCCAGCCTGTAAAGAGAAGGAGGGTTCTGGGGTTAATGGTGGGCAGATGGTCGACTCACTCAATGGAACTAATGTTAAGTCCCTGCAGGAACTGCATGGCCCTCCTCACTCAAGAACAAACAAACCCATCTATAGTTGGTCCATTACACTGAGGAGCCCCACCAGAAAATGCTATCATCAGTTAATCAGTGAATCTACAGTACAATCAGTATGCTCTGCACTCGCTCAGTCGCCCACTGAGCTTCTTCGTAGGCCTCATCGTAGCCCTGCAATCGGGCACGTTAATATTACTGTAGGTGCGACCATTTAATTCTTACACAGCAGTTGACTGGTCACAGTTCAGGATTACAGTTGCACACATAACACTAAGGGCAGGTAGTGTGTTAGCACAGCATTGCTCTAGGCCATACTAGTATGATAGCCTAGCCGCAATGCTACACAATTGCAAATCGTAATCTTGCATGTGGGTATCCATACAATTTATGACACCACATCGATGGTTTATTACGATGGAGGTAAATGAGAATTTATTTTCAGGTTCTACGCTCCTGAATTTGTGTTAACTCGATTAAGAGAACACTTGAGATGGCAGGAAATGATCAAGAGTTCTGTCAGTGTAATGGTTTGGCATTTGAACGATGGTGAGCGAGAGAGGTGACGATGATTAGTCGTGTTTCTATGCGATGGGAAAAGACAAAAGCACAACTGAATGTTAAACTAGGCGTGAAATTGTGAATGCTGTCTTTGTGGCTGGGGTCAACCTGTTAAGTGCTAACAGGTCGGGTGGAATGGCAGCGTGTTAGTCAGAGGGTGTGCTCTGTCTAAAAGGGTTAGATTTGGGGAGATGTTCTGCTTTCGTAATAATTTCTGCCTGCGAGCTACAGCCATTGCAGTCATCTGGGGTGAACTACTATTTGTGTGTTGTTTAAGAACCAGGCAGGCTTTGTGTGTCTGTCTGTGAGCTGGGCTTCGGAAACCTGTGGGCTGTATGAAACGTTGGCCCTCTTGGATGGATGCAGCCTGCTTAGTGACTCAATGACCTTCATTCCTCACTTGGGTCTGGCCTGTCTCATGTCTTATTAACTCCTCTGGCCTAATGGACAGGGGCAACGGCTTATTGAGCAACAGCTGGCCAGCGACGCCTCGTTCCTCTTGAAAACACTACAAACTCTCTGACTTTGACTCGACTGTCAGGGTTGTTTCTCCTTTTCTCTTGCTTCCTTGCAAAAACAGGAACTCACACAGGCACACAATCTTCTCTGCGGTGCACATTTTAAAGAATGTTAAATTTCAATAATCTATATTTCAAGGCAACGTTATCACTGCCTTGAAATATAGCCTATATCACACACACACATCCTGATTATTTAAGCAGTTGTGCAGCCTTGTAGTAAATATCTTGCATATTAATAATAATAATCACAGTACTATTTGTATTAATCAGGTTAAATGAAATTTACTCTGCCTGTTAGAGATAACAGATTAGTAATCTTCTAATCAGGGACAATTTAACACCAGGATGCCAGGTAATTGTAGCTAATTCTCTTATAAATGAAAAACACTGCAACATTGTACTAACCTGTGTTCAAAAATATTAATTTCACAAATTAATTTCAAGACATAATCTTCTGAGGGAACTGCTCAATTTTGTAAATAAATTGATAATGTGGTGACCTACATTGAAACCCCTCATTGGAGGTAAATTACATAACCTTTTCACAGTTTACATAAACCTTCTGGGTAAATGATAGACCTGCTTATTGCTTGGCTTCATGGTGTGTCTGCACTGTAGCACTGTTCTCACTTAAAATTACCAAGCAGTACAAAAGCAGCCCTAAAACAAAGAACAAAAGTGGAGAAAAGGATATACGGAATCATTAAAACAGTAATTAGCTCATTACGTGGGGAGGGAACGAGCAGCCTGCTTTGTGGGTAAATGAGTCAATTGGAGAGGATGCTCAGAGGAGAGGCGCTCCAGGCTCGGGAGCATGAAGACATCTGCTGGCCGATGGGCCGTTGGGCCACAACAAAACAACCTGCTGCTAACACACTCTCTCGCTCTCCTTTCTCTCAAACATGTACGAATCCACGCTGATGCAAGCTCGCCACGCAAACACTCTGCCAGCTTTTCACGCTGCCTCTCCAAGCTGGATGCAAACAATAGGGCTTTTGTGCTGTCTGTCAATGCATGTTAATGGTGGAATGGGCGTTTTTGTCTTTTCCTTTTTGAAACAAAAATCTGTTCAATTAAAATTGGCTCCTGCCCTGGATATAATAAGGCTAATTTGCTAATTAGTACCATTAGTTAACGACAGAGGATTGGAAGCAAGTGGGGATCTAGGGCTTCGCGTATTGTGCTTGAGTCGATTATGTTTGCCGTCTTGGAGAGGGACCGTACGAGCACATTATACATTAGCTTGCGTTACGGCAGGCCCACATGATTTACTCACACAGGACAGATGTAATTATCGCTGCAGCAGGATTGTACTGTGCCAAGACGATTTATTAAAAACTTGGGTCTCCTAAACAACATTCTTACTATCTAAAACAACTTTAGCATCTATGGTGGATTTTATTTCCAGTACTCGTTGCTAGGTGCACATAAAATGTGTCTAACTTCAAAAATAGTTGGAAGTAAGCAAAACAAGAGATCGGCTCTGAATAAATGCAGTTTTTCATCCTTAGTCCTTCTTAAATTTTGTTAAAAAATTGGAAACCACACATATCAACCCCATTTATAACTTTTAAGTGTTAAGGATTTTAGCAAAGGGCTCGGGAGCAGAGAGCAGGAACACAGGGACACGGTAAGGAAGTGTACTGTGGTTGTGAGTTGTGATGAGAAGCGACAGCTCTCCTGCAGAGCCTGTAAATTGGCTTGGCGTATCACAGACACACAGCCACGCTACATCGCTCAGGTGTCACACCAGGGAAGCTGCTCCAGAAGAAAAATACCTTCCAAGCTCTGACTTTGATGGAGAGTAAACAGCACGACCGGCTTAGTGTTATTGAAAGAGAGGAAATTGTGTAAGCACATATTCTGTCTTCAGTTCTAAAACATTCTTGTTGGATAATATGATAGTGTGCTGTTTCTGTTTTCTTATTGGTTACTCAGGTGAAAGGTAACTTGAGCTTAAGGAGTACGCTCAAACTACCTCTAGGTGCCATAATATGATGATGTTTGGGTCTTTAATGACAGCATATGACTGGGTAGGATGCCACACAGTGTACGAACTACTGTATATTAACTTGGTGTTAAGATTACTGACCTGGGCAAAAACATTTTTTAAAGACATGAAGATAACATTAATTTTGGGAAGCTGAAATGGGGTTAAAATTTAAATCCTGATATTCATTTTGTAATGATTTGTTTTAACTGGCCCTCTGCTGACTGGATTTAAGGCCTCAGTCTCTTGAATAATGTCAGCTTGTAATGCAGTCACAGACTCATGCAGTATTTATAGTATTTCATGTCTTTCATGTCTGGTAGGGGTGATAGCTTTCGGTCCAAAACAGTGGACAACATCGTGCAGAATGAGTGTAAAATTAAAGGACAATACCTAACAGTAAAAATGTATCTTTTTGTTTTGCAAAAATTATGGGAAAAAAAAAGATATTCCTAATATGTGTTTTTGCCCAGGCCTGAATATGCCTGGAAGCATCGACACGATGGCAGCATGATGAAATGAGGGGAAACATGTAGTTGTGAATGACAGAACCCCACAGTCTCTTATGAACAGTTCCTCTCTGATCTGGGTGGACCCACGCAGACCTCTCGCTGACTTACGGACACCTGCACCAGGTGCAATGCTCACACCTGTTGTTCAGAGGATGCTTTTGCCAAATGACTGTTCACAGGAGAGAAAGTGCAGCATTGTTGTAACACAGACACTGGGGTGACTCATGCTCTCTGAATATAAGTGTTACCATAGATATAGAAACACAGATATTGTGTTTGTGATTTGATGTGTGTCTGGGTAGTTCTCATGCTGGACCAGTCAGGATCTGCTAGTAAACAAACTATAGAAATGACTTAATTCTGAACCCGTTTTCATAAAATCTGCTTCGTTAAAGGTGTGAGAAATTAAACATGATACTCGATACTGAATCGCATTCAACATGTCCAACTGTTACTCAAGCGTGTGTAAAGTTGAAAAGAATGAAGCTTATCAAAGACAGGAAACCTCTGACTCTTTCTCATCTTCTTCCACTTATTCAACTCAAGGTCGAAGGGAGCTAGAGCCAGTCCATCAGTTTAGTTCAGTTTTATTTATATAGTGAGAAATTCACAACAACAGTTGCCTCAAAGTGCTTTACATGGTAAAAACCCAGCAATATTCGAAACACCTTGTCTAACCCATGCATGTCGTTGGAATGTGGGAGGAAGCTAAAGGACCTGGAGACAGCATTCAAACTTTATTATTAATCTCTGCCTCTCTTCTACAGTGTGTTTTTTGTCCTGTTTTCCACCCGCCACACCCAACTGGTCATGGAAGATGACCGCCCCTCCCTGAGCTTGGTTGTGTCGGAGGTTACATCCTGTTAAAAGGGAGTTTTTCATTCCCACTGTTGCCAGGTGCTTGCTCAAAGGGGGTCGGCTAATTTTTGGTGCATCCCCAGTAGGGATTTGACCCTCTGGCAACAGTGCTAACCACGGCATCACAATGCTATAGAGCCCAAGTGTTCACAATTCTTTAGCATATATGTTACTGCAACAACATACTCATATTCTATTCTAATTTAAGATTAACAATATCTGCAGTATGGTTTGTTTAATGGTAACTGTCCAGCCTGTGGACATGGAGGAAGTGACTTGATGTACTTATCATGACTTAAGTGTGTAGAACAAAAAAATACCTTCCTACTTCATTAATAAAACAATTAAAGAAATAAAATTTTAAAAACAGAGCAGAGCAGTCGGCCTTATAGCACTTGCAAAAGCTGAGCAGACTGATATGAATAAGAGTATCTGGAAAGTTAATCTTTGCTCGCTGCATGGCAAACTGAATTTCACGAAATGAAATTCATGCCCTTTCAGACATGTCAAACCACAAATATGACACCTAAATTTCTAAATGTAGGGTAACACCTGATCCAGAGAGCACGAATAATTATAACACCTGATTGCATTGCAAACAATCATTTTGGCAAAAGGCTGCAGTCCTCGGACACACGGACATATAACGGCTACATAAAGCAATGGCCAATGAGGTATCTAACTTTGTATAATGATGGACACTTGGTGCGTGTTTTCCAAATCAGGCCTGTTGTTTGGAGTAGACATGTTTCCTAAATTGAATGCACTGAGTTTCACGTTGACCAAGAAAAATCTGTATGAAGTTTAAGACTGATAGCTGATCAGTAAACATTAAATCAAATTATTTTAGTTTCAGGTTGTGCGATACACAAAGCATGGCTGTTTGTGAAGCTTTCTAGTAAATACTTTACTTGTTTTCCTTAATTTCTACATAAGCAGATGACATTCAACTTGAGATTCCCAACCTTGTGAGCAGATGGCCCAATCATGTTGTTGATTACCTTATGTCTACACTTTGTTTTCAATTTGCTACTTTAAAACATCTCTGAAAAAGAGCCTGGAAGGAGGAGGTGCCACTGGTCCTAGGAAGTATGTTTCAGTCTCTGAAATCCTGTTATTTTATTATTACTTTTTCTTTTAATGCATTTTTTTGGTCAAATTAGATACAAAAGACTCTGCAACAAGATCATGATGCTGTTATGTTATAGCTATCACTTTAAATTAGCTTTCTTTCTAAGAAATTGTGCTTTTCATCACTTTATAGCAGATGCCCGCTGTCTCAGGCTTCCAATTGTTTCAAAAATTTACCTGAAGTTTAACTGAAAGTGAATTAATTTGAGTTCATACAAGGTTGTAGATAACATCAAACTTGCGTTCTTATGTGGACACATTTGGATCCTTTCGGATTTTCATTAAAAAGGTCTTTTATAATGCTGCTGTTGCTCTTTTGTACTTTGGAGCATCTTGCGTCCGTCCTTAATAGTGCTCCAACAGTGACTCATGTAACATAATCACGTTAATTAAATGAGACTGGGAAATGGTCTGAGAAAGACTTTTACTTTTGGAACCAGGCGCACCCCAAATGGCTCATCACGCGATGTCTCTGACAAAAAAATCAGGCTGCTCATACTGGCTGTTCAAGGACAACCTACTGTCTGCAAGGCTGCTTTCAAAATTACTGAACAGTGGACCAGCCACTCCACTTCAACTGGAAATTTCCTGGGCTCGTCAAATTAATAGTAAAGATTTAATACTGGGTCAGTGCCAAAGGTTTGGAAACTCTGCATTAGACACATCACATATAGAGATATAAGTAACGATTGTGTCGAAACTGCCTAAAAGCCTCCCCTCCCCACCTTCTCCTCTGTCGTCCTCCTGCCCCTGTACTCACCTGAACCTCTGAGCCTGGTGGTGAAGGGGGCCAGGGTATCGGCGATTAGGTGACTGGTAGAGTTGTGACAGAAGAGCTTGGCTGGTCTTCTGGCTGGGGTTGTTGGCGAATTTGACCGTTATAGGCTCGGCAGCGCCCGATGGCTTCTGGCCATTCAGGCCCTTGATGGCCTCCTCAGCCTCTATCCTCTTATCAAAGCGGATAAAGCCAACACCTCTGGAGCCACCTGCGGGGCCAGCAGATCAGAAACAAACAGGGGCCCCTTTTACTTTACAGGTATCAGACAAAGGTTTACTGTCTATATATTTAAAAGATGTCTGTGCTGCTGAGTAGCACTCTTACTTTTGCACATGATTACTCCTATTTAAAGATCCCACACAAATAAACAATGACATCATGCTCCACAGTGTAAAAGAAGCAAAAAAAGTAATCAATTGTAAAGTATTTTTAATGCAAATGGCTTTGTACTCTAACAGTAACACAAATACAGCCATACCCACACATACACACCAGCTACACACACTGTGGCACTGACCCAGAGGGTGTTTAAAGCCACAAAGTCACGTCTTTTCTTACGCTCATTCCAGTCGCAGTCACCCCTGCACGCCCTCCTCATGCACTGCTCTCCGTGACATTTGAGCTGTTTCCGTGGCGATATTTTTGACTGCCACCTGAGAGGAACATTTAGGGAAGCTCCCCTGGTGGGTCCTTTACTGGTGCATTGTGCGTATTAAGAAGTGTGCATCTCTATACGTGTACATGTACATGCGTATATGTGTACATATGTGTATCTATTAACGGATGCTGTGCCTTGTTTTAATGAGGCTGCCTGCATGGCCCAGAGGATGCTCGCGCAGTGACAGCAGCACTCTGCCGAAGAGACTATTTACATAATACTGTGTGCACACAGGCATGTCTATGTGACTGAGGCTGAATAAAAGAGAGGAAGTAAGGAAGAGGGGAATGTTGTGTATGAGCATCATTGTGTGCAGTCTCTCTCACACACTTAAAAGGCACTCCTTATTGTTATTCCACATTTTGTTCATGCCAGCCCGCTACTTCCTGTTGGCTCGTCTCATTTTTCTTCAGGTAACTGATTTGCATATTCTCTGCAATTTTCTTGCCTCTTTCAAATACCGTGCTGGAAGTATTTTCTTAACTGTCACCACAACAAAAGGAGCTCAATTACTGCAAACTGTGGTGATCAGTGTCCTTTTGCAGCAGCAGAAACATGACTTGTGAAAGAATGGCAATATAAAAATAATTTTCAAAACTAATTTGCTCTCTGTAGTCTAACATAATTTGTTTACTTTTTCTGAAAAGTTTTTTTTTTAACTATATAAGCAACAACTTTCTGACTTTAGAACTTATACACAAAGAAACCTCTTACCTCAGAGTCTTTACCGATTTGAACCACAGCATTTTCTTTATGTCTGGTGGTTGAACTCATTAACTCTTACTTCATAAAAATGTTTTTTTAAATTCTCATTTTTTAACCTTTCTACCTCCCTCTCCCCAGACAGCCTTTCACAAATTCTCTTCCCTTATTTCCATTTGTGCCAACTCTGTACCTGCACATTTTAATTAGCTTGATAGAAGCAGGAAAACGAGCAATTCTAATGGGATGTACATAGTGTAAACAACAGCCTCTGTTGTTCCTACAGCTTTCTTTACATATTACAGTTGTTTTCATGCATATGTTGTGTGAAAAGTGGGGAACAGTGCGTTTGTTTCTGAGGTATAGTAAATAACAGTTTTTCGCTAATGGACGCTGGGCATTTAAATATCCCCAATGCCTTAGTTTACTTTGATAACTGCAATAACCCTACTTTTCTATAAGGCGCTTGGCAACTCCGAGAGCCTTGCTCAAGGGCACCTCAGCGGTAGTTAAGAAAGACGAGAGCACTGCTCATTCACTTCCTCCACTGAGATGAGTGCAGAAGAGAGGACTCTATTCGTCCTTTAATCCTCACACTTGTTTGGCCTTGAGCTCCTTCTAAGCCGGTTCTTGCTGGAGGGCCTCCAGACAAACGCTTGGCATACAGATGAAGGCCCGACACAAACACACAAACACCCATTCACGTGTGCACGCACATACTTATGTGATGACTTGAAGAGGTGCTATTAAGAATGAAGTGCGGAAAGAGGACTGGAGGTGTCCATGACCATTTTCGATGGAGCGTGACCAAACCGCAGTGTTTATATGAGAGCGAGACAGAGAAAAGATTTGTGTGTGTGTGTGTGTGTATTCTGTTTGTTTTATGTATGCACCAGCTTCTCTTGTCCTTGAGGTTGCACAGTAGCATTGTAAGTAGGTGAGAAAGGTTGGTTGGCAGGAAACCTCATCACCCATAATTCTACTGAGCAAAATGTGTGCACATGCTGTACTTGTGCCTGTTGGCTCTGTTCAGTCAAGAATGCTCACAGATCATGTAATGAAACAGAATGAATGGGTTTTGCGACATTCACAGCAAAAATATTGACAAGCCTTAAAATTTAGAGTTCTCATAATTCCTCAGTGCGTCTAATAGTGATAGTACTGCCGCGTCACGAAGTTCACCCAACATCCCATTGGGGTGTCAATATGTGAAATGCGTTCTGAATCCAATTACTGTTGCAGTGAGACCGCCTTCACTTCAACATCTGTTAGATCTCCACCGCCTCGTGAAATGATAAAGATTACATTTCTCTGATTTCCTTATTTCAGAAAATTTAATTAAAAAATACCCAAAGTCTCTTGTAGCTTTCAACCTTCCCACCCCGACTGTGACACAGAGCCTCAAGCCCATTTCTTCCAGGGTTTGCGTCACAAATATATAATAAAGCACTGAGCATTTTCCTAAAACAGCAGAGCTCTGCAGTTTTTAGAAAGTGTTACTAAGAGAGGACTAAAAGATTGTAATTGTTGGGGATTATATTCAGCAATTGATTAATACATGCTGGAAAGCTAGTTAGTACTTACTGCAGCAGTATGGCACATTTAGGATTTGGTCAAAATAAAATACAATGCCCGTGTTTATGATAGGAAAGAAAGACGATCCAATCAAATAGCACGGATCGTTAAAATGTTAACTTTTGTAGAGAATACTGGCGAACAAGCTGCAGATAATACGTAGCAGCATTGCTTCTTTACCGGTTTTGCTCCTTGGTGAAAATTGGTAGAATATAACAAGCCTTGAAAAACAATGCAGGTATTTTTAAGAAAGATAAAAACAGCTTCTTAAATCCATGCACCTGTTCTGTTTTTACCACTCTGTCATGCCATATTAATGTAATAAACCTTGAGAAAGGTTTATTTGTCTCCGGTTAAACAGAGTAACAAAAACAAACTCGCAATCTATGAAGCAAGCTGCCAGTCTACGAAGTCCAACCTAATGACTGTCCTTTCAACCAGCCCCAGAAGCCTAGGCCTACTTATCACCCACCAGCCAGCCATACAGGCAACATTAGAGCACAATGTACTTACTAAGGTATACCAATCGGTCTTTCTCACTCTCTCTCACCTCTTACTCTCTTTTTTTGCTCTCCCTCTCCTCCACAGTAATCAACAGAGGCTTATGTAACTCTCTCTACCTGTGCTTATCTCTCTCTAACACACACCGACAGGCACATTGGCTGCCTTACTAATAACACGCTGCCTCAGTCCGGGGAGGGGGAAACAGAAGGAGTGAGGATGGGGGATGAGAAGCGAGCGCTTGGCGTGGGGATGGGCAAGACCGGAATGAAAAGGAGAAAGGGAAAGAGGGGGGGATGAGAAGTAAGGAAGGAAAGGACAAAAGGAGAAAAGGTAATAGAGGAGAATGTTAGGAGGTGACAGAAAAAGGATGATGATGAAAGGAAACAGTGCTATTCTTGCTTGCTCCTTCCCAAACAAAGCCACTCTTTCTCTAAAACCCACTATCATTTCCCCAAACACTGACTGACTGACAGAGAGAAATGACTGCTCCTCTGAGGGACCAGAAAAAAGTGAGGTGAGAAACCTGGCTGCTGGATAATGAAACACACACACACATACAGAATTTCTCTCTCTTTCTCTAGCTCTCTGTCTCTCACACACATCCATCTAGCACAATGTATTCTTGTAAGCAGGCCCACTCTGGCAGATGCATGCACCAGTGCTCGCATGCATACGCAAAATCTTGTTGTTTTCCAGTGTTCTGTTTTCCCATCTCCCCTCCTTTTATTTTTATTTGACGTACAAATGTGTGCCAAGAGTATCAAATTATTAGACTTGCCTTTCCAAGAGATTTTTAATATGGCAGAGACAGAAAGAAACTTCCTACTGGCTTCTAATTAGAGGCAGGGAAAAAAAATGCAATGTCCTTGTTTTAAGTAGCATTAGTTTGCCTGGGTACAGATGGCATTTAAAAAAGCAGTGAGAAGAGAGGCTCAGAGACTTTGAAGAGTGGAGGTGCCCTGTGATTTGGCCTCTGTCAGAGCAGAGCTCCAACCATCTGTCTGGTGTGTGCGTACGCATGTATTGATGTGCATATCTATATGTGGTTTTGTGTGCGTGTGTGTCGACTATCACAGAGATGGAACGCACTCGAAAGATTACAGGAAAAACAAACTCGAGGCAGAGAGATGTGAGATGATAGCGTGAGTCAAGGCTGCAGTCATCCCATCTACAGGAAGAAGCTCTCTGCTCATATCACCTTGACCGTTCTGTTCTCTGCTATTGGACAGACAGAGAACAGGGAATCAGTGTGGTGTCAGTCTGTAGAGGAACATTCATTATTCAAGTCAGTAGAGGAGAGAACATACTAACTGTGCAGAGAAAGGGCAGTTCCTTTGAGGAAAAAAGGTATTGTTGTAATGCACAAGTACTATATTTACTTGTGCATTACAACAGGTATGAGAAGAACAGATCAAAAATGGGAACTAAGCAGTCGTCCTCCTCGCAAATGAGGCACTGACTGGAAAGACAAGCAAAGCTGAAGTTTAGGCTGTAACTGCAAACTACAGAATAAAGCTGAAGACCACAAATTAATATTTACATTTAAATCAAGACCAAAATTACAAGTTCAATCTAACTGCAGAGATGACGCCAGTGTAAAGCAAGTTTGTACTCTAGGTTACTTGATGGCTTTTATCACTCCCCACATCAACAACAGCTCTAAAAGCTTTTCTCCAGTTGACTAAATGCTTACAGCGATCTAATGGCAGCAGGGGAAATATATTATGTGTTCGGTCTGCAGCTTCTAAATAGAAATGGGCTGCGCTAAAGCGTTTTAA